ATTATTTGGTACCACCGCATTAGATCCTACTTGGGTGTTTGTTAAGGTACCTAAATTTTGTTCGTTACCCATAGGTATCGACATACTCGTAGTTGTCGCTGTTACAGGCATATTCCCATTATGACTTTGCCCCCCAGTATTTGGTGAATGTACACCATTCAGACCCTCACTGTTACTCTGGTTATTTGATGAATTTTGACTCATGCTTATAACTCGCTCACTCCTTAGTCTCATACACTCTCGAACTAACCAATTTTGTGTTTTTAACACAAGGCTCCCCCTATCTGGCGCGCCAATTTGTTTCTGGTGGAATTTCGATCGATTTCGACTCTTAAGATATTTTGATCCTAATCAAAATTCTACCATGTAAGTTCTTTTTACTTAGGCTAGCAAATTAATTTTCAATCGAGATGCGTATGAGGATCGAATTTTGCCCGATTTCGAAGATACTATTTTTGGTGTTTTATATTTAAAGTGCTCGAAGTAAAGAAAGCAGAAAATTCGTGGAATCGAAAAGCAGTGCTGAACATTAGATTGCAAAGAAACGTAACATGTGGAAATCTTAAATTTGCTTTAAGCATAAAAGACAGGGAATCGAAACAGCAGAACTGTAAATAACAGGAAGTATAAATGACAGTAAATCAAATATGCAGAAAGTATAAATAACTTGGAAATTGAAATTGCATTAATGTTAAATGACAAGAAAACTTAAACGCGGAAACTTAACTTTCATTGAATTGAAATGACCAAAAATTGAAAGTACAGAAACATAAAATTGCTAAAGATAAATTGCATCAAAGTAAATTACCAAGGAAAATACAGAAAACGGTAAAGGTACTCAATGAGCATGGAAATCCAAATTGCCAGAAGCTTTATGATGTTCGTCGTTTCTCCGGTAGACTTCTCACTAATGATTTTGTTCTCTGCCAATTTTCTGCCCCCCTTTCCTTTCATCATTTGCTCTATTTATAGTGTCTTTTCAAATAGTCTCTTAAGAGCAGTTAACGAAGACTACTACCACGTTCTCTGTGCACGTCTTTTGCAATTTTGTTCCTAGCTCTGCAGTTTAGAAACTGTATCCACGTTCCCATGAATGAGGTAACCGCTCCCTTGACCTTCGACTTTTGCTACTGTTTATTATGTTCGATGTATACGTCAACCGTTCTTCTTAGCAAAAATTTCGATATTAACGTATATTAGCCTTTCCTTTGATTTTAGATTTCGCAACTTCGAGAATTTTGGATTTGCTAATGGGCGTTAAGCGTTATTCCCTCGATTTTCGATTCCAACTCTCGATATGTTTTTGTCTTTGTGTTTACCAGGTGTTTTAGCAATTGCATCGACTTGTTAATCCCTTGTATAGTTCTCGATTTTTTGTTTCCCTTCACTTTCTCGATCCTTTTATAGATTTCTCACTAACAGCTATATAGTAAGGATTACATCATAAACTTGTTTGACCTTATTTGTTGAATTTGTCTAAATTTGTTATGATTGATAATTGTGATTTCATTATATGCTTGGTTGTGAAAGTGATAATGAATTGCTTACGTGTATGATGGTGTAAAATACATGTTTGGTACTATATTATGATATGTATTGTCTTTGAGTGAGCATTTATATGCATGGTGGTTTTTCATGAGAAAATTCATTGAAAATTAAATTGAAAGAATTGGATGATGGGTTGTGAACCCTTTTTGAACTGTATTGGAAGTTTTCTGCTTGTAACAGGTGATTTAAAATTTTTGGGATGTCCGTATTATAGGGGAAACTCTGTCAAAATTTTTGGAAAAATGTGAATTTCTAAGAAAAACCACTTAGGGACTCATACATTACTCATATGAAAATGGTGATTTGTGAAATCTGGGGAATCAGAGATTATGGACTCTGAGAATACGATAGGGAGGCCCTGAGGGAGGACTTGAGGATAGGAATGGTAGTGGTTGGAGGCCCCAAAAGACCCAGGCTCGCTACCTGTTGTCGGGGATCCCACTGTACAAACTCTCCTGCACTCTGACCGTGCTCTTACCGTATATCAATGGTCGATGAGCTACTCGGGTTTATATTTGAGCATGAGTCTCAACAATCCCGTGGGTGGATTTTCCATGCCTAGTAGTGTCAACTCCTGGCTACCCCAGCATCGATTTGAGAAATGATTCGGCCCGCATGCATAAACATTTTAGAAAACATATTAGGATCATGCATCATTAACATCAATCATTTGGAATTTGATTGACTTGTGATTGTTTATGATGTTGATTTTAAAATGATGTATGAACTGTTGTTCACCCTCTTGTTTTTCTGTTTTCTTTATTTCCTTTGTGCTTGCGGTACTCGTTGGACCTGATCGGTCATTGTTTGAAGAGAGGGGAGATGGCACAGATTCCACACCCGATGAATATGATATTCATACTCATTAGCTAGGAGCCACAATGATGGCAACATGTATTGGGATAAACATATCCAAACTTTTATAGACAGTCTTTTGTAGTATATAGACCTACACGATACTAGGTAGTAGTCACTCTTTTATGTAGTTAGCTGCTCTGTAGGAAGTATCCCCAATGTTGCCCTTAATATTTTGGAGGACTGTACTAGTATTTTATCTATATGTAATTATGAATGTTTACTTTTAGTACTTTTTAAAATGATGAAATGCAGGAATGAATTATTGAAAATTTATATATTGATATTATGTACGAGAGAAAGATTATTATCGGTTAAAAAAAAATTCTACTAAAAATTATTACTTCTTCTGATTGAGGGTTTACAAGGTAGGGTGTTACACAGAGCACGTGTTCTCACACGTTGCAGAAGACTGTTTCAGAGAACGTGTTCACACACGTTGCAGAAGACTATTTCAGAGAACGTTGCAGAAGACCGTTTCAGAGAACGAAGACCGTTTAAGAGAATGTGTTCTCACACACGTTAAAGAAGACTGTTTCAGAGAACGTTTCAGAGAACGTTACAGAGAACGTTACAGGTAACGTTACAGACTCACTACCAAGTCTTCCATAACTGTTACATACTTTCTCTTATAAATAAAGATTACTTCACACTCATCAGAACACACCTCTCTCATCTTCGCTTCTCTTATCTTCTTTTTGTGATCCTGGGTTAATTTACTCTTTTGAGAGTTTCTTGCTAGTTTCTGAGATCCTCGGATATTCCGAGAAGTTACTGTTGTATCACGGAGACTTGCACAATACACCGCAAATAAGTCCTTAAGGATAATGATTATACGCGCCTCAGGAATAAAATTTGCTCTTGTCTCTGTCAACTTTTACAACATATGAATATTAATTAGAACAATGTATATATGTAACCAAAAAAATATACATGTACCAATAAAATTAGAATAATGTATTATCGATCTATCATCATCTCGCATACCAACCAGTCACATGCTCCTCTTAATTTTCATCTTCAAATAGTTAGGGTTTGTTTGGTAGTGTGAGTGATGCTATTCAATGAAGCAAAATGAAATGTCTATCCTATTTTAAGAAGTATCATGAAATGAATAGAGATGTTCAAAATAATTTTAATAAAAAAAATTATCTTAAATTAAATCAGTTATATTTTATTTTTCATTATTAGGTTATATTTTATATAAATATAGGTCAATTTATCATGAATTAATTTATTTTAAAAAATAGTTATTATTTTTTAAATAAAAATAATATTATTTTATTACAAAATATATTATAAATTTCTTTTACAAATGATTTATAAATTTTTTAAAATTATTTATTTTGATACATAATCATTAAAATTAATTATTATTTTATATTAATAAATAAAAAATAAATTATGATAATAAAAAGTAAGTTTAATTTTTTATTTTGAGATTAAATAAATTTATTTTTTATATTTTATATATTAAATTATTATATATGAAATTTAAAACTAATTTTTTAATATAATTTAAATTTAAAAAATATAATATTTTTTAAAAATATTTTTAATTTTCAACTACGCCACAATTTATCAGTTAATCTAATGATCTAATCACAACTAAAAAAACTAAAATAAAAAAAATAAAAATAAATTAATGCTATAAATGATACAATAAAAATAATTTAAAAAAAAGTACACGAAAAAAATTGTCTATTTATAGTAATTGTTGAATCATTTCAAATTTTTGTATATTTATAATTTTATGTTATTAATTCTCATGACTACACCATGTACCGATTTAATGAATAAGGCATCTTTTTTAGTAAGATTTTCAATTTATATTTTATATCACATGATAGTTTAAATTTATTTTCATAAATATTAATATAAAGGAGGGAAAAAAATTAGGGCATGATGTTGACCTAAACCTAAACGTTGTGCAACTGTATCTAAATTGACCTAAACCTAAAATTAGGGCATGATGTTGAAAGTTAGGGAAAAAAATCACCGTCGCGGTAGAAACAAATTTAAATATATTTCGTTTAATATAGATATCATAAGTACTTTATGATATATATTTTTATTTTAACAGATATGATTAATAATTTAAATATTTGACTCAAAATAATTTATTATTTTAATTGATTTTGTATATAGGGAATTTGTGTTTAATTTTTTTACGTGCAAAAATTCAACAAATTAGAAATAATATAATATGTTAATTAGTGTAAAGTTAAAATATTTTGATATATAATATTAGAAATAATGTAGTAATATAAATGGATTAGTTTTTAAACTATATTTAAAATTGTTTCATCTTATAACCGTGACTTCATTATTCTTCTTCTTATTATTTATAGGTATTATTATCGAATAATATTTAAAAAAATGTTTTTTTTTATTATCTTTTTGACACTTATTAAAAATACAAAATATTAAATAGATTTAGGATGTCAAATAAACTTTTAAATTTTAATTATATATTAGTATAATTTAGTCTATAAATCTTAGTGTTTATAATCTTAATCCTCACCACCACTAACTCTCGTTGCGAAGTTTTAAGTTCCGACTAGAGTAGCCGACACTGAGTTAACTCACCAAAAACCATGGCAGAAAAACCAACCACCAAACTAACCCTACCATGGAAAGTTCGTTTTTCCTATTTCCTCATTTCCACTGTCAGCGACGCTTCTCGCCGCTCCAATGCCACTATCAACCGCCGCCTTTGGAACCTCGTCGACCTCCAGGTCCGGCCAAAGTCAACCTCCATTAACGGCGTCTCCTCCTCCGACGTCACCGTCGACGCATCCCGCAAACTCTGGTTCCGCCTCTACATCCCCTCTTCCTCCCCCGCCGTTTCCGCCGCCTCCCTTCCCGTCATCGTCTACTTCCACGGCGGAGGCTTCACGTTCTGCACCGCAGCCTCAACCTTCTACGACACCGTTTGTCGACTCTATTCTCGTGCCATTAACGCCGTCGTTGTCTCCATTAACTACCGTCTCACCCCGGAACACCGTTACCCCTCTCAATACAATGATGGGTTTGATGTCTTAAAATTCCTCGACGAAAACGGCACCGTTTTGCCCAAAATTGCTGACGTCAGCAAATGTTGTTTGGCGGGTGATAGCGCAGGTGCGAACCTGGCACACCACGTGGCGGTTCGGGTTTGCAAAGAGAAACTCCGAACCGTGAAAGTAATCGGATTGATTTCGGTTCAACCGTTTTTCGGAGGAGAAGAACGAACCGACTCCGAAATCAGACTAACCCGGGTACCCTTTCTTTCGGTGGATAGAACCGATTGGCACTGGAAGGTGTTTCTGCCAAACGGGTCGAATCGGGACCATGAAGCGTCGAACGTGAGTGGGCCCAATGCGGTGGATATTTCGGGTTTGGATTATCCGAATACGATTGTTTTTATGGGTGGGTTTGACCCGTTACGTGATTGGCAAAGGAAGTATTACGAGTGGTTAAGGAAATCGGGGAAAGAGGCAGAGTTCATCGATTATCCAAACGCACCTCATGCTTTTTACGTGTTTCCTGAATTGCCCCTCGTTTCTCTCTTTATTTCTCATGTCAAGGAGTTTGTGACCAAACAACTTTCGAACGTGAATTGATTTGAAGGTTGTTTTGTTATTGAGAAGAATTCAAATGAAAAAAAAAAGATATCTTTTTTTTTCTTTAAATAAAATTATTTTTATATTTATATTTACACTATTATGTGTGATTGTTGTTGTATAATATAATTTGATGATTATTTGTTTATTTTAAATAAAATAATAACACCTTTTTCAAAACAACACTCCTTATTTAATTAGATTTGTATATTATTTATTTATTTATTTATTTATTTTTATACTATTTTTATTAATAAGGAAAAATTGGAAAATAATAAATATGTTTAATTATGTTTACTTATATATCTTGTACTAATTAATATGATTAGAGTAATTAGTTTGATGAGTATCATTTATATAATAGGAGTAGTTGGTCTACTCATTAAATAAAACTAGTTTTATTGGACATTTTAAAGATAGAATTCATTAATTATTTGTTCCTTTTAAAATTTGATCCTTATAATTTTAACTCGTAGAATAGAGTTCGGGTTTTGTTTATCTAGTTCTTACTGTTGTTAAAGCCTATGTTTGGTTTGAATTTTTTTATCTTATTTTGTAGATTCTTTTTCAATAATAATTTCAATGATGATATTTTTAAAGTCTAAATGTTCATAAATATTAATATTTGTTATATTGAAGACAAATTGATCATATTTGATAAACTTTGAAATAGAAGTTTTACATTCTCGTTTTGAAAGTTGGATAAATAAAATATTTAAACTGTTGATATAATTTGTGAGTGATTTGAACTCACTCGTTCAAAGAATATAAATTATTCTCTTAAAAATATTCTTATCTAAAGGACTTCTTTATCTTGTACAATTTGATAAGAGTATAAAAAATTTCTTTTATTGTATTTTTTTTGTAATATTGGACAGAATTGTATCTATCATTGCTAAGTACAAATTAGTTACAATGTTGTCATTAATTTCTTTCTACTTTAATTTTTGATATCCATATATTATTCTCCAATTGCATATCTACAATTGTCTTTTCTTAAAATTATTTTTATTTTAATTTTTACAAAAAAAAATTCTCATTGAACATTTTTTATCTCATGTTTTGTTATCGGGGTTTTATTGCATATTAGAACAATGACGTAGATCATAAATTAATACACCAAATAAGTTTTATGAAAGATAAATTGGTCACTAATAGTCATACTTAAATATCAAGTATTTACTTGTCAAAACTTTCCTAAATAAATATTTCATATTACCACACTTTGTATCTAATAATAGGAATAATTTGTGTAGAAGATCATGTTAACTATAATCACGTGATATATTAAGAAACAAGTGACTCTAATAAGTTATTGATATAACTTGTATGATGGAAGTAGTTAGATTAATGAGTGTGGTTAATTTGATAAGTAAGAGTACAACTTATTTGAAAAGAATAATTGGTATAACGACTGCAACTCATAAAAGAGATCAATTAATCTAATGAATGATAATTTAGCTCATGGAAGTAGTTGATGTGAAAAGTATATTTTTTTCTATTTTATTTTATAGAAATAACTAGATTGATAAGATCTTATGTAAATATCATAAACATTTCTCTTTCAACTTCAACTTATCCAAATTTATACTTCCAACTTTGATTATTGGAACAAAGATAATAAATAAAAATATATAATGATAAGTTAAATTATAATGCCTTCCTTTCAACTTAATTTATCATTCAAACACGTTGATTTGATTTTATTAAAAAATTAAACATAAAAACATTAATAACTTTTATTCATAACTTTAAGGATAACATTTGTGTAACGGCAAGGTTGAAAAGGTTTTCTTTAATCAAGACAAAAAAAGAAAATATTGACATGGAACAAAATATAAAATTGAATATATGAAAACATAAAATATATTTGAAATCTATATTACTATGATAGTAACATTATCATACATTTTTTTTAGATTTTAGAATTAATTTAATATTTTAAAATTGAATTAGTATTAATTATAATTTTACTATTATTTTAAGCATATGATATTCATTTATTATTCATAATATTTTTTATTTTTATTATTTATAATAATTATTGAATTCTAATATGGCATACCATTCATTGTTCGAGAGTCTCATCATCGGAGACTGTCACTTTCCCACAAAGTTACTGTTATTTAATATCTTCTCAAGTTTCTTAGAGGAATAGTTGTAGCTTTAACTATTCCTTTCAAGTTCAGAAATCAAATTATGTAATTTCCAGCCATTTTTTCATAAACAGCCAAAACATCAACTAATCAAGAAAATTCAAGTTGTTATGAAATGAAATCTTCGTAACATCATTCATTCAATTCCTTGGTTGGGGAAAAATAAAGAACGAATTAACCTCAAACATATGATCAATGGATATCACTGCATACAAGGGTTAATTGTTTCTGGAACCCTGAATCATGATTTGCAAATATCTTCACAAATGTTATTACCAAGCATGATCTTGAAAGAATTGAAGGTCCATCTTCTATGTGGAGCTTTTACTGTTTACTGCTTCCTTCAACTTCCTCCCTAATGCAAATGCTAGAGGAGGAGGCACAGCATTACCAATCTGTCTGTGCTTGTGAATGATATTGCCAGAAAACTTATAGCTATCTGGGAAGCCCTGCATTCATAATACATGAAAATATGCTTAGCTATAAAGATTATACCAAATTATGTGATGCTTGACTATTTCTTAGGCAAAGATCACAAGGACTACTATAGTTTTGGCATTAGCTATTAAAGATTATTATGCTCAGTAGTTAATCATAGAAATTAATTTCTTGGATATGTCTATTAAAACTTCGAACTGATACCAATCAGGATCTTTTAACTGTCCGTATATTCAGGAAACCTGATCAAAATTATCCATAACAATTCAAAACTAATAGAAATTTCAATTTGTTAGGACTCCATTTCTTATCAAAACAAGAGTTATCAACTTACTTGAGATCGAGCACATTCACGAACAGTAAGAATCCTATCTTGGTCAGGGTGGAAGCACATTCCAACCTTCCCCATTGGTTGGGGGTCTGTAATGGAAGTTGGGAAATTCCCTTGCCAATCCAACCTACCAAATAGCCCCTTCCATTGATTGTGCCGCTTAGCAGTGTTGGGCAAGCACCATGGTATCAAATCAACAACTTGTCCATTAGACAATGTTACCTGCATTTCATTAGGTTTCATAAATTAGATAGATCACAAATATTGTTATGCTAAAGTTCACAAGAATTTAGCTCCACCTTTTCCTCTGGAAGATCACGCCAATCAGCACCTGGCCTCTTGGGAATTTTCTTGCATCGAATCAAGTTCAATTCATTCATCTCCTTGGAAATATGATCAGTCAAGACAACCATCTCTCCGCGAATCTTCCTTTGAAACCATGATACAGGATCATTTTGATACTGCACAACATAAAACACAGGCAAATAGTGAGTGAAAATAAAAGACTGGAGGAATGTGATATATATCTTTCCTATTTACATACCTCCATGTTTCCTTTTGAGGCTCCATTGCCAACAGCTGGGAGATCACCAATGGTATCTTTAACAGTTATTGCACGTAATGGAGCACCATTTGCAGTACTGCGGACAGCAGCATATTGCACTCCCTCAGATAATGTGATCTTCAACTCGGGTGCCGAAAACACATGCATTGGTTCTGGCCACTCAGGAAGCACATGATCAGGACAGGCTGCCCATATGAATGCCCTTTTTCTTGATTGAGAAACCCCAAAAGCTCCAGCCTCAAGGATACCAAACCTCACCTTTAGAGCAAATAAAAATAAAACACTCATTTCAAGTTTTATTCATCAAAAGAATTCAATTATTCGACCAAGGTAGCAGTAATTTTACCTGATAACCCATCTCAAGAAGTGAAGCCAAGGTTAAACGGAATGTCTGTCCTTTATTGAAAGACACAAAGTTCCTCACATTCTCCAACAAGAAATACCTTGGCCTGAAATAATCAGCAAAGGATAAGAAGGCCAATATCATTTCACATTGGACTTTGCTCCAACTGCTCTGGCTAAATCTATTCATCCCGGAGAAACCCTGAAAGCAAAAACAACACATTAGTGAACAAATTATCCGAGAAAATATTCATCAGCAACAAAAAAAAAAAATGAAGCCAACAGCTAGAGAGACCTGGCATGGAGGACCCCCATTAATGAAATCAACTTGTCCAGGCATCGGTAAACTACTTATTTCCTTCTCATCAAGCTTTGCAGCCAATTCTGCAGCCTCAGATGTTGAGATACAATCATCTATGTCCCCACACTTCTCCATTACAGCCCTACATTACAATAAATAAACCATGTCACTTAAACAGGTTCCACACCATTCAACATTTGGCCAGGAATCTGTTATCTAAATGGGATTATTTACCTAAGAATAACATTGCAATTGTTAATGAAAACCAATGCCTCAGGATGATTAGCTTTGAATGCATCACTAGCAGGTTCTTCATACTCAATAGCCCATTTAGTTGATGAAACACCTTAACCATTTTAGCAACAAAGTACACGTTATATTATGCATTTGAAGCAGATACAGTTTGGTTTCTTGCTATAATAATGTAGTTAAGATTACCTGACTGCTCCAACCCCTCTGATAAACCACCACAACCTGCAAAGATGTCCAAGGTTGCTAAACGTTTTTCATCTAATCTTTTAACTTCCTTACAGGGCTCTGAAAGTTCATCTCCCTCTTTACATTTTCCTTTTCTCTTTGTAGCTGCATCATCCGATGTTTGTGCACTCGAATATTTTAATTTTATATGAGCTGGTAACTGTCAAGCAATGGAAAAATATTAATAGTTAATTATTGAAAATCAGAACCTGCACTTTCACCGCTGCACCTGAATGTCATATTGATGTAACAAAGAATAATGATGATGATGAACATAGTCTTTTATCCTAAGCTAAACTAAAATACTTTTGAGTTTAATTAAAAAATAACAGATAGGATATTATAAAAGGCATTACAAAGATTTAAAACTTTTAAATTGGATTAGATTTTAATATACTAGCAAGGTCATATTTTACAATAACATAAACAGTGTCATTATGAAGCCAACTATTGTTAGCCGGTACTACGGATAGCATGTTGCCTTGCCAGTAATTAAATGAAAAAGGAACCAGAAAACGACATAGAGAATAAGAGCAGATAGATATGGATTAGTTCAAACGTCACTTTGAATAGGCCAAATTTATTTAAAATGTAATTTAAAAAACTGTATTATTTATAAAATCTCAATACATTGCACATTTATCTACTGGATTAACAAGTATATTGGATGCTTGTACAATGGAGCCAAATACACAATACCTTTTTCAGTGAGCCGGTGGCAGGATCATACAAGAGCTCGCAGAAAAATACATTTTGGAACATTCCGGGGGCACTGCAATCAGGGATATCACTCTTCTTTCTGACTTCACATTTCCCTTCTATGGAGTCTACAGATATTATATGTGTTTCATCACTGTAATAAACCTAAAATATCAATTATAAAATACAAGTCAGTATAAAACTTATGAGGTACACAAAAGTAGAACCAACACAAAATAAAGAAATATGACAAATAGCAGTCCACTTATCATGGCCAGATCAAGCATGGATGACTTAGGAAAAATAATATTATAAAATCCACATATTCATGCTAAGACTTGTACAAAAGCCATAGCCACTTTAACTTTCTCCTTCAGTAAAATCATTTGTTATTTCTCTCCTATGTGCATGTGTTTATATCTTGATTGAAGTTCAATTATTAACTTTTAAGCAGCTTATACCTCTTGTATATCAGAACAGTATGCCTTCTCATTTGATACATCTTCCGGTCGGAAGAACCTCCTGATTTTGACTTGTGTAGATTTTATTTCAGCGTGTTTTATTTCCTTTCTGAGAACAATCTCTAGAACTTGACACACAACATAAGCTTTCAACCCCACATTCCTCCCACTCTTATGAGTTCCTTGCTCGATCTTTTCCTCAAATTCAAATGGACTTGCATAAACATAATCATTAAGACAATACTCAATTCCTTTAAATAGGAAGCCAGACTTGGAGGAATTTACATTGAAAATATCCTTCTCCTTTTCAATGTCAAGTATTTTGCAAGATGAGCAAATACCAGACCCTTGACCCAAAGTATCAAATGGAAGACTAAAGAAAGCACCCCTTTCAGGCCAGTACAGGCTTTTACAGTAATATTCAGTAGGTAGTCCTTTCTTCTTCCTTTCTTCAGCCCTAGCCCTGTCAACACTATCTGCAATGATATTATCCTTTCGATGCTGATGCCCCCAAGGCCTTTTCTGAATATTTACAACAACTGTCAGCTTAACATCCTGCAGTCCCAAATCCTTACACTCATTAGTCAAAAACACTTCTCTCTCATTAGCAGTATTGCCAAGAACAGTGTGACAACCATGCTGCATCATCCTACCATGAAACATTTTTCTTCTATTCTTTGACTCAAACATATATTCAACATAATACATGTCTGGAAGTTCATCTGTTTCATCAACTTCGACTAACACAGATCTTCCTACACAAATAACTTCCCCATTAATGATTGCCTGTTTATAAACAGGATATCCAGAACTAGTCTTCCCTTCAGGTTTTCCTTCCCATCTTATTTCTGCATTAGCAGAAAATGTTTTAGTTTGCTTTGAAGCTGAATGTTTCTTTGTAGTTCCCTCCAAAAGTATTGGCTCCTCTTCATATTCCTCATCTTCATTTTCTTCCTGTTCCTCCACTTCATCCTCTTCCTTTAATTCACTAACAGCCCCCTCTATTGAATCCTCTGGCATGTGGTTTGAGTAATACTCTCCCCATATTCTATTGATCAGCCTTGTTGTTGTTGCTTGCATAGCTTTCTTCTTGGACACAATAGGACCCACTGCTGCCCTAGGATTCAAGTTTGGTTCACTCCTGGGCAGAACTTTCTTCTTCTTCACTAACCATTTGGTATGGTGTCGCTCTTCCATTTGCTTTGCAAGACCAGTCACAAATGCAGACCTTCTGATCTTATCATCGGGAAATTCTGCAAACAGTTGCAGAATAATCTGCCCATGGACAACAACATATCTCTCAACAGCCGATGGATCAGAAGATATGTAAGAACCATCTTTCTGATTAAACTCCGATACTTTCTTGATGACATCTCCAAAGGAAAGTCGCGATATTCGGCTCTGTTCTTTCAGCAAGGTAATAATGCTTATAGCAAGCCTTGCAGTTTTTAACACTGTGTTATACCAAGGAGCATACTGCTTTGCCGGTTTACCAAGTCTATACCTGAAAGGAATGAAGTATGAATTAGTCTAACTGTCATTTTACATACTCATTGTATTTAGAACAAGACTATTCGAAGATGAATTTACATACAGTATTTACAGATGTCTCATCATAAGATATGATAAATTCATCCATAACAGTTAACGCTTAAGAGTTTGGTTACAATAGATTATATCGACAGTTTGGTACCCAGGTAGTCAAGTGAATTTTCTAATTATATTTCATTTGAATGATAAACAATGACATTTATTTTAGACACGAGGCATCATACCAGGCCATATCTGTTCGGATGGATATGAAAATCATAGATGATCCAAATTCAATCATCCATTCCTTTATGGCACTCAGAAAAATTGGCATTCCATCAGCAGCCTGTGCTTCAGAACCAGCGGAAGAAGTTTGGCCAGCTTCAGTTTCAAGATGGAACCCACTTCCATCATCTGAAGTCATTACACCAGATCCAAAGATAGCAACATCGATGTCTGGACAAGGTTTCATAGGAAGAAGTTCCAAGGAAACCAATCTTGCATCTGAGTTGTACAAAGACCAATTATGTAGCATGCTTCGAGGAAGATCTTCAGTGTCATACATATCATAGTCATTATCAAACACTATAAACTCATCTGTTTCTTGAAGGGAGGTTTTGTAAAACGCAGGGAGAGGATAATCATTGGCGATCTCATCCTCATTAATTTTGATATAGTATTTGTTAGATACAAAAGCTGATCTGGAGTGTTTCTTCTGCTTCATAGAGTGCCAATACTCTTCTTCCTGCAAGAGTCGTGCTAACTTTGCATCTTCATCTTCATGGTTTGCAGAATCCACCAAATCCATCTGATTCGTGTTTTTTCCATCTCTATTTCCCGAGTCAATCCTTAGACTCCCATTTGAGGGTATTAATTGTGTATGTAAATCGTTTGCCTGTTTCTTAGTCTCATCTCTTAAAGCAATAAGAGCAGGGATATCTGCAAACATCTTGTCTTTTGTCTTGGATGTCATGTCCAAACCAATGAGTTGCTTATAAATGAACTCACCCTGAGAAATAACAAAATCCTTTATGGATGCAGTTCCAGAAAAGCATTTGCTACCGCTCATAGACCGTGCCATGCCAGCAAGTAACTCATCAAGACTTATATCAGGGTCCCCGCCGGAGGACTTGGCAAGTTTTTTATACACTTCTATACATGCACGAGCCTTTTCAAAGAAACGATCGTAGAACTTTTTGTAACATGCAGCTGGTTTCTGGCAGTCATAATCAGCAACATCAGTAGAAATCCATATCACTGGAGAACCATCTTCATAGCCAGATATATCCCAAGATTCAATTCGACCAAATCCTTCACACCTTATACCTTTCTCTTTTTTCTTGTCTGTGCTTGCTTCAAGAGGCAATATAACTCCAGTGATATATAAATCATTAACTTCAAGCATCTCAAGGGGCTGTCCTGTGCCATTTTCATCATGAAGGATAAACTCTGTAATTCGCCTATTTGGTCGACCATCATCCTGTCCTGCAGTCACGCGGACAGCTACGATTTCTTCCTCTACAATGTGATCCTTCTCTGTTTCGATGATACAAGACTTATCAGATATCAAAACAGATTTCTCCTTCAAATCTTTGCATGCTGCAGCACATCTTGGCATTTTGCGTGTACCAAAAATCTGATCACTGCTTACTGCCAAACTTCTTCGCTTCTTTTGTGTGTTTTTATTCATAATTTTCCCTTCTGTTTTCGAAACAACAGATTCATCTTTACTCTTGCCGTTCTCCGCACCTATTTCAATCAAAATAAAAAAAACAAAATCATAAATTTGTTGAAAAAAAAAGGGGAAAAAGTACAGAGACCACAACAAAGGACAATTGATAAAAGTCTGAAGTATAAATAACTAATAATTAAATAAAATTTTCAAACATCAGAAAATGAAATAAAATTTTCAAACAACATTTATGAATTCCGTTTAGGAGTTTCCATGTAAATGACCAACACTGTCCAATATCAAATCTGTTATAGCCACATAGCAAAGTCGAGACAACCAAATATCACGAAATTATACGAAACAAAACAAACGAACGAAAACAAAATAAACTAATAGAAGAGAAAAGGGCATAGAGATGCTACAGACAACAATAATATGTTTATGACCTGATTGTGAAGAATTCAACAGAGATGCTGAACCCATGTCTGAAATCCTCTATTTTGTTATTCGCAGATTTTGTGTTCTTTTACACTCGCACCGTCTATGTGATGAGATGTGAAGCTCAGTTGAATTTAGTTGAAGTTGCTGGAATTTTCGGACATTGTCTTCGGCGGGAAGTGGAGGAAAGTGTTTTTTTGGCGCCCAAAAGATTCAAACTGAGATCCAAAGAAATAAAAAATATATGAAAAAAATATGAAAGGTAAGAAAATAAAAATTTTATAATTTTTAAAGACAATTTTAATTTTTAGAAATTTTCTACATCAGTATATAATTTGTTATAAGATTGTGTTTTTTTTTTTTACTTAATTGTGTTTCCTGACACATAATTGTATTTTTTGTAGAAATCTATCGTTTGAGGTTTTATTTTGACTATATCCACGTTTTAGTAACTTTGATACAATCTCTATATTTTAGAGTTTTTCAGGATAATTTAAATTTATAGGATTTTTCTGTATCTGATATATATTTTTGAGATTGTGATTCAATTGTATTTTATATGACTCCATGTGTTTTTTTTGTTATATATCTAATTTGAAAATCTATCATTTCATATTTTTCTTTGACTATATCCATGTATTTCAGTAACTTGCATATATCGAGTCAACATCTCTATATTTTAGAGTGTTTTAGGACAATTTTAATTTTTAGGGTTTTTTTTTATGATATTGTGTTTTATTTGATTCCATTGTATTTCATGTGACATGATTGTGTTTTCTATGATATAGAAATCCAAAAATCTATAATTTAAAAATTTCTTCTTAATATATGTAAGTCAACAGTTATATATTTTTGAGTTTTTCAAGACAATTTTTTATTTTATTTGTATTTCAAATTTTGTTAGGATTTAATGGATAAGTGTTACATATCTATATTAAAGTTTTTATTTAGTTTTTCTTCATGACATTTATATTCAAATATAATATTTATTTAAGTTTTATATATATATATATATATATATATATATATATACTTATATTTTTTATTATATTATATTTTTTATAAATATTTATCAACACAATAAGTTTTTAGTTGAATTTTTATATATTTTAATTAAATATTAACAAAGTCATTCAATATAGATATTTTATAATAGGTATACAAATATATAAGATAAATTATAGATTTTATTTAAAATAAATAAAAGTTTTACCACCTAATTTTGGAAATAAAAAATTATCGAAATAGTGTTTTTTTTCTGTCTCTTTACGATTTATTCATATTATTTCTAAATACTTAATACACGTATTCTAAGAAGAACGAATTTTTAATTTTTTAACAAAATTATAAATTAACTTTAATCATTTAAATTCAAATATTTTTTTAACTTTTTTAACATTTATAAAACATTTCATTCAATACATAATTTTTATTGCAACCAAATAGATAAAAAAAGAACTAAATTTTATTTTACATATTTAAAAAATAAAAAGTTAATTAACATTGATAAAATAGTATAATTTTTATTATTAGGTAGTTAATCTTATAACAATGGCAGTTATAAAAGTAAATGTGTGAAATTTGAAAAAGGTGTAAAATATATATATATATATATATATATATATATATATATATATATATATATATATATATATATATATATATATATATATATATATATATATATATATATATGATCGATAGTGGTATTTTTAAATCAACAATTCTAATTCAATATATTTTAATATAATGTTTATTATCAGTTATAATTTAAAATTAAAAAATCACAAGTGATGTTTAGTTAAATAAAAGTGAAACTGACATAATTTTTATTTTTAAAGATATGTGTATGAATACCAAATAATAATGAAGAATGGGTTACTAACACTTAAAATATATTTTGTTTTAAAGAGTAAAAGTAACAATAAAAAAATAAAAAATTATACCATTATCAAAATATAAAATTAAATAAATGATCATCATTTTGTACATCTTATTTCTAATATTTATTATTGAAATTTATTAAAAAATGTATCATGTGTGTAACGAATCACATTTATTAATTAAGGGAATCACCCAATAAAAAAAATCAACAAATTCTTCCTTTATTTTTGTAATTTTTTTAAAATTAAAGTTAATAATAAAACCATTTGCTAAAAAAAAACAGAATTTGTTAATTTTCATAATTTACAAGTAATAAGAAAACCAATTTTAAACTGATAATATTTGAGAAAGTATCCTAATGGAAAATTGTAACATGTTGTGAAACATAATAGAGTTAAACACAGTTTTTCTATTTTTATAAAAAATATATTCAATATAAATAAGACTAACAACGAGTATATTTATAAGTGCTCCTTAAAAAATAATAAAAAAATAAATAGAGTTCTGGAAATTTTACATATTACACATGAGAAAAAAAAGGCGAGATAATTCTATTTTTTTTTATCATTTACTATAAATAGTATTCTTTCTAAATATTTAATACTTAAATTTTAAGGAAAAAAATTAGAGTTTAATCATTTACTTTTAATTTTTTTTATAAGTTAATTTAAGTTATAAATTACTTTAAATTATTAAAAAGTACAAATAGTTTTTAAAGAATACTACTTAGAAAAACATAATTTATTATAAACATTTAAAAAAATTTATAAAAATTAATTACTTTATAAAATTTCCCATTAAAATACAACATTATGAAAATATTTCTTCATCAATTCAATATTAATCCATAATACTACTTTATATTAAATTTTAAGTTTAAGTATCTATACAATTACAAATTTACATTTTTAGTTTTCCATATACACAGTAATTTGTAGGTTGATAAGTTATGATATATATATATATATATTATTATTATTATTATTTTTTTTCAATTTTAGTTCCATCTTCAATATCCTTGGAGGAGCATTTCTCCTATAAAGAGGATGTATGTAAAGATATTTTTTGAAGCGTAGTGTTCTCATGAGTTGTATTTGAGTTTGATATTAAACGTGTCTCTTTGTATTAGTATTTATAATAATATAAAAAAAATATAAAATGTAGGAAGAGATACAAGAATAGTTACCTAATAAAATTTTGCTTCAAAGTTGTTTCTTGAGAATTACTGGTCTGTATTTCAACTTTTATGTTTTCAGACTGGAGATCCTGATTCGTATTTCAAATTTCACGATTTTTTTAGGGTTTTTAAGCGTTGTTGAAGATATTAATCAGTATTTAAACTTTTTGGTTTTCAGGTGCTATTGGAGATGTTGATCAGAATTTTAAATTTAAGGCCTTTTTTAGGGTTCTCAGATGCGGCTGGAGGTACTTGTCTGTATTTCAACTTTTAGGGTTTTTTAAGGTTCTCATACAATAGTGAAAGTACTAATTCATATTTTAACTTGTACGGAATTTGTTGGTTTTTCAAATACTATTAGATACTTAGTCCATACTTCAATCTTTAAGATTTTTTTTATGATTAATATATATCTTTAAGTTGTATTTTCACTTTCTTAGAGTTTTTTTTATATGTAAATATTTATATTTGTGCTTAAGTATGCATTCTCACTTTTTTTTTAAAGAAAATTTTTGTGATTTACATGTATTTGTGTTAGAGTTTTAATTTCCACATTTCTAAGATTTTTGGATGACAAAATCTATATTTTAATATACATCGGATAATGTTAAAATTAAGGAATTGTTTCTCTATTTACTTTTAATTAATTTAAAGAAAAAAATTTAAAATAGAAGAGTGAACTAATTATCAGTTACTGAAGAAAATCATTATCACAAATGCATTCAAGTGCATTTAATACTTAGAAAAGAAAAATAAAATGCAAGATAATGGAGAAGAAGGTACCACCAGAATACTTGCATGGTAGAATTTTTCTTTCAAGTTATTTTAAACATTTTGTAAGGTTTTCAGGTACAAATAGAGATACTTGGTTTTTATTTCAATTTTTAGATTTTCTCGTTATTGTCTCTAACACTCTTATGTATCTAATATGTAAATTTATCTTTTAAGATTTTTTGATAATTCTCTCAGTATTACAACGTGTATGGTTGTGTTTTATAGTGACTTTCCGATATTTGGACAATATTTTTATATTTTAAGGTATTTTGGTGATTTTATTTTAATTTTAATATTCAGGGTTGTTTTCTTGTGACTGAAATATACTAGTGTATGACTATATTTTCATTTTTTTTTTCAAGTTTTTTTGGTGAGTGGTGTGGATATATTTGTGGAATTTTTTATTTTTACCTTCTTAAAAATAGTCAGATAAAAAAACCTATCTATAGATAACATTTTTGTTTTTATTTATATATTTAGTGTCTGTTTTTTAATATATGTGTAATTATGTGGACTCACTAATTAAAAAAATTACTTAAATCCGATTTAAGTTTTGTGTTTCTTCTTTATAAAATAAGTTTTTTTCATATATTAAGATAAATTAAAATAAAATAATGAAAAATTTATAATATTTTAAATTAATTTTTAAGTTAGTATTGCAAATAATGCATTTACATTTTAGTTTTTGAAATATATATTTTAGCACAACATTTTTTTAATATCTATTTTTAACATATAAAATTAAACTTTTCAACGGACAATATTCGTAGTTAATTAAAAAAATTTGTCAATAAATAAATATTATTGACGAAAAAACTGTAAGTAGATATATTGTTGTAAAATTTATCAATAGATTATTCTAGTCTATCGATAATTATCGATGAATATTTTAGAGGGAAAATATCGTGGGTAATTAATATTTTCATGGGTAAAGTTTGGTAATGTTTTAAAAAATTTATCAACGGATATATCCGTCGATAATTATAAGTGAAATCTTGAACCATTTATTGACGAATTATATGTTGGTAAATCCATCAATAAAATTACCTCTATTTCCAATAGCCATTATTTTCTATCCCTTCTCATATAATCTGTAAAATGTATAACATTCAGTTGATTCAATCGTCCAATTCAACAATCTATTTAACAATCCAATTAAATAACATAAATATAACTCAAATTAATAACAACTAAATTCAAATGTATTTTAGATTATCCACAATCAAACATAATGTACAATCCTAAAAGAGGCTAAAGATACAATTAAAATTGAAATATTGTTCTATTATTGTTTCTACAACATTTAGTAGTAAGAATAATCAGGAGAATAATGTTTTGATAAGTTGTCTTCTTGGGATGGATTATCTTGTTGTTCTTGATTCACTTCTTGTTGTTTTGGTTGTTCTTCACTATCTGGTTGATTATATTGGCACTGCCGAATGAGTGATTATGCACCGAGGGTAGAAATTGAATGATTGCACTGATAAGGGATTAAAACTCTCTAAATTGGTGCTCTACTCACTCATTTGCTTCCTTGTTCAAAGAATTTATTCTTCTTGTGTAGATAGTAGTTGTCTCAATTGATTAATCTCTTCTAAGTCAATTAAGGAGCTGAATGCTTGAATTTGCCTAAGAACCACCTTGATAACTATAAACAAGCTCTCCAGCCTCGTACAATCTTCCTTTATTCTTACCCTAACTATGTCCACCCACTAACATAAGAACACAATCCGCACAGTTAAGATATACGCAAGAGCAAACACAAACATTAACCAAATACACGACCTTATCATAATACACTTCATCTAGACTAGACAAACCAAAAAAAAACAATATTCTCATTCAAACTCTAATCAAATTAGGACCAAACCTTAAAGAAAACCAGCTTGAACCAATGCAAATCGAACAACCATAACCAAAAACCAAACATTATCATTCAAACTCAAATTAGACCAATCTCGACCCATATAACACACAAACCTAAAATCAAGTTCAGATTCAATCTTGACCCATCTTGCATCAAATAAAATAAACTAACCACCAACAAAGTCATTCCCATATCCAAGCAAAATAAGGCATAAGTGTAAAAAAAAAAAAAAAGATAAACACCAAAGACATAATGAATCAATGCAGCAATGGAAGAAGGAAAAATGCAAACAAACCCTCACGGCGAGCTGAGATGATTCGGGCAGGCGTGACCAAGATGGGTAAGCGGCGAAGAGGTGCGGAGGCCGCGATGGGGGTAACGCAGCTAGGACTTTGGCGAAGAGGGGAAAAGGGTATTGGAGTAGGAGTGGAGACCGCGACCATGGAGAAGTGAGGGTGGTGGGGGATGTGGCTGGTTTTGCGATGGAGACCCGCGGTGGTCGTGGGTGATGTTGGACAGAGGCCATACAACATGGCTAAGGCTACGAGGTGTTGAAATCGACAATGAATGTGTGATTTATTTTGTCTTTTGAAAAGAAGAGAATTTCGTTTTAATTTGTTTTATACCACTTATTTACGGACTAGATGACATTATCCAGATATCTTCACCTATATTTTACCAATGTCCTTAGGTAAAGGTTAAAAAGCGTGCCCTATTTTCTGATGAATATTATTAACGAATTGTGTGTAAGATGACCCATGGATAAATATGTCAATAATATTAAATTATCGACCGTCATTTACCAACACACATTATGTTATTATCGACCGAACTCAAAAATTATATTATTTATTTATTTATTTACCAACAAACACAATCAAATTACTGATATATTAGAATTTTTAATAGAAACATATGTCGGAAAAAATCTAACAATAAAGTTGAGAAAAAATAGATACGTCGGAAAAAATCCAACAATAAAATTGAGAAAAAATAGATACATATTTTTCAACGGATATTATCTACAAATTATGTTAATAGTAGTTTTACCAACTTACCGATGATACGTATGTCAATAATATTTATTTATTGATAATTATCATTGATAAATTTCCGTAAAAAAATCACAGATTATGGTGAAATTAATACTCTATTAAAGTAATGTTAATCATATAAATTATTATTAATTTATTTTTGATACGACTTTCTAAAATGAAAATTAAAATAATATTTTTGTTATTTCTTTTCATGTACTTTTCTGTTAATGTGAGCTAAGTTTTGTGAGAAGATTTATCTGATTTTTTTTTAATTCACCTATCACAAAACTTAACTGGCAACCTGTAAGATAGGATTTAAAGTTTGATATTTTTATATTGGGTTTACATTTAATATTGTTTTGAAAAAAAAAGATATAATACCTTTCTACAGATAAGTTAGATATTAACAAAAAGTCTAACATGGCCATAATTTGTATACATTTTAAGTAATTAACCTATATATTGTTTAACTATATCATCTATTATAAAATATAATTATTATTCTGCCTACAAAAGTAATTTAATAACAAAATTTCAAAAATTATATTAAACTTAAAAAGACTTAATTATATATAAGATTGTTGCTATAACACTCCACTTGTATGTAAATTGTATTAACCCTTTTAATTATTTTTGAAAAATAATATACTGTGTAATCCAATAACAGTACAGTTATAAGAGTAAAAAAAATATAAAATAAAATAAATGTTAATAATATACTTTTACATCATGTTTTAAATTTTTTTATTATTTCAATTTATTAAAATGTCACCATGTTTTATCTAATTAAATAATTAATTAGGAGAGTTAGCTGATAAAATAAGTAAGCAAATTCTTCCTTTGTTTTTTTTTTTCATTTACAATTTTAGTTTCTATTGAAAAAACCAAAAATACAATCTTAATTCAATTTTCAAATTTGCATATCTTTATTTACCTTTTACTTATTATTTTATGATACACTAAATTGTATGTTAGATATAATATTTAATTAGACCAGAGAAAACAAATACATACGATGGATATCTTCACAAATACAAGGGTTAATTGTGTTCAGGAACCTGAATGATGATTTGCAAATATCTTCACCAATGGTTTACCAAGCATCATCTTGAAAGAATTGAAGGTCCATCGTGTATGTGAAACTCTTACTATTCACTACTTCCTTCAATCAAACATAATGTACAATCGTGTAAAAAGAGACTAAAGATACAATTAGAATTGAAATATTATTTTGCTATTATTTTTATAATATTTAATAGTGAGAATAATTAGGAGAATAATATTCTGATATATTATCTTTTTGTGGTTGATTATCTTGCTGCTCTTGATTTACTTTTTGTTGTTTGGGTTGATCTTCATTATTTGGTTGACTATGTTGACACTGCTGAGTGAGTGACTATACATCAGGGGTACAAATTGAACGACTGTATTCATAAGGGAATGAAACTCTATAAATTGGTGGTGTAGTCACTCATTTGCTCCTTTGTTCAACAAATTATTTCTTCTTCTTGTACAAACAGTCGTTGATTCATCTTTTCTAAGTTAATTGAAGAGCTGGATACTTGAGTTTGTCTCAGAACCACCCTCATAATCATGACCAAGCTCTCCAACCACATACAATCTTCCTTTATTCTTACCCCAACTATGTCCACTCACTAACATAAAGAATATGATCGGCACAATCAATATATATACCAAAGCAAGCATAAACCATAACCAAATACACGATCCTATCATAATATACTTCATCTAGACCAGACAAACCAAAAAAACAATATTCTCATTCAAACTCTAATCAAATTAGGATCAAACCCCAAAGAAAATCAATCCGAACCAATGTAAATCGGACAACCATAACCCAAAATCAAACATTATCATTCAAACTCAAATCAAACTAGTCTCAACTCATACAACACACAAACCTAAAATCAAGTTCAGATTCAATCTTGACCCATCCTACATCAAACAAAATAAACTGACCACCAACAAAGTCATTCCCATATCCAAGCAAAATAAGATAGAAGTGCAAAAAAGAGAAAAAAAGAAAAAAAAGACAAACAACAAAGATTCAATGAATTAATGCAGCAATGAAAGAAAGAAAAATGTAAACAAACCATCACGACGAGCTAAGATGATTCGGGGAGGCATGACCAAGATGGGTGAGTGGCAAAGAGGCGCGAAGGCCGCGATGGGGTAACACAACTAGGGTTTTGGCGGAACAGGGATGGAGACCACAACCACGGAAAAGAATTATTTTCGTTATACTTTTTTTAGATTTTAGAATTATTTTATTATTTAATTAGTACTAATTATAATTTTACTATTATTTTAAGCATACAATATACATTTATTATTCATAATATTTTTTATTTTCATTATTTATAATAATTATTGAATTATAGATATGACATACCGTTGACAGTCCGTGGGTCCCACAATAGGAGACTGTCACTTTTCCACAAAATTACTGTTATTTAATATCTTTTCAAGTTTCTCAGAAATCAAATTATGTAATTTCCAGCCATTTTTTCATAAACAGCCAACACATGAACTAATCAAGAAAAATCAAGTTGTTATGAAATAAAATCTTCGTAACATCATTCATTCAATTCCTTGGTTGGGGAAAAATAAAGAACGAAATAACTTCAAACAAATGATCAATGGATATGACTGCATACAAGGGTTAATTGTTTCTGGAACCCTGAATCATGATTTGCAAATATCTTCACAAATGGTATTACCAAGCATGATCTTGAAAGAATTGAAGGTCCATCTTCTATGTGGAACTCTTACTGTTCACCGCTTCCTTCAACTTTCTCCCTAATGCAAATGCTAGAGGAGGAGGCACAGCATTACCAATCTGTCTGTGCTTGTGAATCATATTGCCAGAAAACTTATAGCTATCTGGGAAGCCCTGCATTCATAATACATGAAAATATGCTTATCTCTAACATCATACCGAATTATGTGATGCATGACTATTTCTTAGGCAAAGATCACAAGGACTACTATAGTTTTGGCATTAATTGTTAAGGATTACTATGCTCAGTAGTTAATCATAGAAATTAACTCTTTTGATATGTCTATTAAAACAACGAACTGATCAAATCAGCATCTTTTAACTGTCCATATATTCAGGAAACTTGATCAAAATTATCCATAACAATTCAAAACTAATAGAAATTTCAATTTGTTAGGGTTCCATTTCTTATCAAAACAAGAGTTATCAACTTACTTGAGATCGAGCACATTCACGAACAGTAAGAATCCTATCTTGGTCAGGGTGGAAGCACATTCCAACCTTCCCCATTGGTTGGGGGTCTGTAATGGAAGTTGGGAAATTCCCTTGCCAATCCAACCTACCAAATAGCCCCTTCCATTGATTGTGCCGCTTAGCCGTGTTGGGCAAGCACCATGGTATCAAATCAACAACTTGTCCATTAGACAATGTTACCTGGATTTCATTAGGTTTCGTAAATTAGATAGATCACAAATATTGATATGCTAAAGTTCACAAGAATTTAGCTCCACCTTTTCCTCTGGAAGATCACGCCAATCAGCACCTGGCCTCTTGGGGATTTTCTTGCATCGAATCAAGTTCAATTCATTCATCTCCTTGGAAATATGATCAGTCAAGACTACCATCTCTCCGCGAATCTTCTTTTGAAACCACGATACAGCATCATTTTGATACTGCACAACATAAGACACAGGCAAATAGTGAGTGAAAATTTAAGAGTGGAGGAATGCGATGTATCTTGCCTATTTTACATACCTCTATGTTTCCTTTTGCGGCTCCATTGCCAACAGCCGGGAGATCACCGATGGTATCTTTAACAGTTATTGCACGTAATGGAGCACCATTTGCAGTACTGCGGACAGCAGCATATTGGACTCCCTCGGATAATGTGATCTTCAACTCGGGTGCCGAAAACACATGCATTGGTTCTGGCCACTCAGGAAGCACATCATCAGGACAGGCTGCCCATATGAATGCCCTTTTTCTTGATTGAGAAACCCCAAATGCTCCAGCCTCAAGGATACCAAACCTCACCTAATGACCAAGTAAAAATCAAACACTGATTAGTTCCTTTAAGTTCTATTCATCAAAAAGAGTGAAATTATTCAACGAAGAAGGTTACAGTAATTTTACCTGATAACCCATCTCAAGAAGTGAAGCCAAGGTTAAACGGAATGTCTGTCCTTTATTGAAAGACACAAAGTTCCTCACATTCTCCAACAAGAAATACCTTGGCCTGAAATAATCAGCAAAAGATAAGAATGCTAATATCATCTCACACTGTACTTTGCTCCAACTGCTCTGGCTAAATCTATTCATCCCGGAGAAACCCTGAAAGCAAAAACAACACATTAGTGAACAATTACCCGATAAAATATTCATCAGCAAAAAAAAAAAAAAAGAAGCCAACAGCTAGAGAGACCTGGCATGGAGGACCCCCATTAATGAAATCAACTTGTCCAGGAAATGGTAAACT